GTTTAATAAGGATAGCCATCAACTGGACATTTAAGTATGCACGAGACCAATGCATAAGAAAAAGGAAATAGATGTGATTAAGGGATGAAGGTGTCTTAAGAAGCCTTTAAGGAAAAAGCAGGGCTGTATAACTTTCCTAGACCCTAAGCACTTTAGCCTTTGTAAGGCAATTCTACCATAAAAAAATGTTAAAAATTATACTTTTTACAACTATATTGGTACAAATCCAAATATAATCCTGCATAGGTTCATTACTATATACATGTACTCATAGTATTACTTCTGATTTTAAAAGAAACGAAAACATTTCTATGGGTCCATGGCATGTGCCTACTTTGCCTAAAGGATAAATCTCCTAAGTAAAAATGCTTTTGAACAATAAGAAAACATTTTCTTAAAAGTTATAATTTTTAAAAATTGAATTACATAATTTCTGTTTATTTAAGGACTAACTCTCTCCCAATATTAGGAAACAATACAATGAAAATCCAGTTCACTTAAACAAATGAATTTTGAGGTTACTCTTTTAGAGCAATGTATGACAAAACTGTGGTTAAAGGAAGAATTAGAGAATTTTAGTCTAACATGAGTTATCACAAACACAATATTTCATATAGTTTTCTCTTAATTTATCAATTATATAGAGCTGAGTGATTTTCCTGTTTTTCATTAAAGGTCATTGGTTATATGAATTTATGGACTAGTCAATTATAAGTTTTTTGTTTTTGTTTTCTTTACACACAATTATATCACTGTTTTTATATAAGGCCTAAAAGCAGCTCAAATAGTAAGACACAGAGCTGAAATTTCGAACTCCCTTCCTAACCATAGTAAGAATGACATTTCCCCCAGCGACCACTAGATAGTTATAAAAATTTGCACTGACATTTGGTAAGACTCCGCAAGCATCAATAAGAAGTTGACTTTCCCGCCATGCTCCATGTCTTTAAGACGAGACATATTACATATACTATAAAGAGCTTCAGGATAAATATTGAGTGCCTGGGTATTATCACAGTAGTAAAGATTAAGTCATTTTTATTTCTGAGAAACACTTTTGGTACCATTACCATATCCAAAAATAGGTATTAATGCTACTGGTGATTAAGAAGTTCAGAAGCTGTAATTATGCATCCCTTATTGTGGCAATAATGCAGGAGAGCTCTGAAATATGAGGGGGAAACACCCAGGCACTTAAACCAGTGAACATTTGCTAGAAGAAAACTTTTAAAATGATTGACTGCAGCCTTGATAGAGTTGCATTAACACCAAATAGCCACATTTCTGTTCACGTACAAGGACTACTATAAAGAAGCAATCAAGCTATGTTTAATAAAATGTGTCAGAAAGTGTACTGTTTTCACAATTAAAAAAATTTAACATCTTTAGTCAAACACTTAGATGGGAAGCAGCCTAAAGAAAAATAAGGACCTACACACAACTATTTCAACTACAAAGCAAAATGCTCTCACTGTGACTGAAGGAAAATAATTTAATATTCATTATCAGTTTACAAGAGTATAACTCCAAGGAATGATTACGCTCATAAGTAAATGCAAGATTTTTCCAAAAGATTTATAACTAAGGTATGCAAGACATAAAATCAAACTGCAAAACTAGTTCAAAACAATTAGAGTCCAATGGTTCTCTTTATGTTTTCTTGTATGTTCTTTATTTTAAATTGGTATTTTAGAACAGTAAATTATCTTTCATAGCAGTGCTTCCTGGTCTGATAATACAGTACCCCATTTCTGAATGTAGAGATTTAAGATAAATCAAAATGAACATTAAGGCATACAAACACTACTTTAAGTATGCTCTTATTTAATAAAGTTGGTTTTAACTCATGTTCAAATACATGGAATGTTGGCACAAACTGAAGCTGCTGTAGAAAGATCACAGATGTCCTGTGGGTTACTGAAACTCCCATTTCTCTAAAAACACACCTTTAAATGGTTTTAATTTTACAAATTTAAGTGTTAAGAAAATGTCTAAATAATAAGTAACAATTAAAATAAAATGTTTATTTGTAAATTATATACAGAATACATTACTTTACGACAAGGAAATGGGAGGAAGAGCCATCACCTTCCCGCCAACGCGGCGCAGCCTCTCGGTTGGAGACAACGGTCTTTCTCGGAAGCAGATGCACAAACCAGTTTGGATTTCCTAAGTTGGGAAAGGAGAATTTGTAGCTAAACTAAAAGTGTTGTTGCATTATTACTAGTTGGCTTGTTTCCACAAAATGCTTTTTGAACCTTGCTAACTCAGAATCTTAGAAATTTCCTGGTGTAATTTTGTAATCAACAAAATTTTAACTATCAAGAACAGTGAGTTTAAGCATTTCATCTCAAAGAATCTGTGAAATGGCTACACAACTATACATAATCTGAAATATTGGTGTTTCTTTTTTATCCCTTTTAGTTATTTTGATTAGTCTAACAGTAAAAAGCCATACAATTATCAAAAATGCCATTAATCTAAATGTCATTGTGGAAAGTACATCTCTGATAACTATCAAAATTAATGAGACCTACTTACTATAAATTTATCAAATAGATAAAACTTATAAATGGCTTTTGACTGTACCCATAACAGTGTTCTATAAAATGAAGGACTGAATATAACTGCTTAGATGTCAAATACATTTCAGTAAGTGGATTTAAAGGATGCTACAAATGTCATGTGTACATTATGACGATCAGCCAACATAGAAAATCCAACCTCTTACACGTATGTAGTCCCAAAGTTAGGCAGGTTATGATTTTTCATGTGAAGATTTAGTTGTTTCTCCGTCATCGTCTTCTTCCTCCTCTTCACAATCCCCATCTGTTTGTTGTTCCAGTTCCTCTTTTGTGATCATTTCAAAATCATTCCCATTTCCACTACTGTGTTGGGAGCGGTCGTCTTCCCTCCTGTCACTGTCTGTGTCAGAATGCCGTTCTCCACCTGAGCCTTCTGCTCCATGATTTCCTGGTCCTCCTTTTCCCTCCTCATCTTCTTTTTTCTCACTGTCTGACTTTTCCTCGCTGTCGGACTTCTGCTGTTTTTTGGTTTCAGATTTCTCATCTTTCTTTAAGTCTGCTTTTGGTCCTTTATATTCATGTGTGTACAGAGGCCTGAAGGAGTCAATGAAGCCTACATCAGCAGTCAGATTTGGCAAGAACCAGAAGTGGTGCCTTCCTCCAGTTATGAGCCAAATGATGAGAAATAGAATGCAACGAGCTGTAAGAGAAAAATTTCTCTAATTGAATAATTTAAGCATTGACTCTGACAGTAGGAAGTATTTAATAAAAAACTAGAAAAAACATTTAGAGTATCATTTGTACATTACATGTACCTTAAATTAAATTAAACAATTAAATCCTGATTAGTTTAGCAGCTATCACAGTATTCTAGGCAGAGTATTCTACTCTGGACGTGAGAGCATAATGCTACAATGCCCCTCAAAAAATAACTTTTACATTTTCTTTCAGCTTGGTGCTATTTCATGGATGTACACTTAGGATTTATGTACCTGACGTTATTGTTTAATAAGGATAGCCATCAACTGGACATTTAAGTATGCACGAGACCAATGCATAAGAAAAAGGAAATAGATGTGATTAAGGGATGAAGGTGTCTTAAGAAGCCTTTAAGGAAAAAGCAGGGCTGTATAACTTTCCTAGACCCTAAGCACTTTAGCCTTTGTAAGGCAATTCTACCATAAAAAAATGTTAAAAATTATACTTTTTACAACTATATTGGTACAAATCCAAATATAATCCTGCATAGGTTCATTACTATATACATGTACTCATAGCATTACTTCTGATTTTAAAAGAAACGAAAACATTTCTATGGGTCCATGGCATGTGCCTACTTTGCCTAAAGGATAAATCTCCTAAGTAAAAATGCTTTTGAACAATAAGAAAACATTTTCTTAAAAGTTATAATTTTTAAAAATTGAATTACATAATTTCTGTTTATTTAAGGACTAACTCTCTCCCAATATTAGGAAACAATACAATGAAAATCCAGTTCACTTAAACAAATGAATTTTGAGGTTACTCTTTTAGAGCAATGTATGACAAAACTGTGGTTAAAGGAAGAATTAGAGAATTTTAGTCTAACATGAGTTATCACAAACACAATATTTCATATAGTTTTCTCTTAATTTATCAATTATATAGAGCTGAGTGATTTTCCTGTTTTTCATTAAAGGTCATTGGTTATATGAATTTATGGACTAGTCAATTATAAGTTTTTTGTTTTTGTTTTCTTTACACACAATTATATCACTGTTTTTATATAAGGCCTAAAAGCAGCTCACCTGTGCTTCTTCCATTATTTTGCTTTGGATAAATGAAAGGAAATGGTTTTAGCTGCCTTGACTTTTATAACGTAGTAATTTCTATTTTCACAAAAGAACAAATATTCTGAAAGACTGTGTACACATTAGTATCTTGTGGTACAAACAGAAAAAGCAAATATGTTTGAAATTATGATTTAAGAATAAATTCTCCTAGTAAAAAAATAATGCAACATCTTTTAAGGAGGCTGCACATTTTTTTCTCCAAATATAAGTATGATGCTACAATAGGCATATATAGGGCTGTAAGACAGATGGTACATAATATAAATCTTGACTCAAATCCAAGAAAAAGCAATACAGAAATGGTGCAAATAAAATCTAAATTCTCACTATATATGAGTATAAAGTGAATGTAACAGAATTCTAACATGTTTTACAGTTTTTCTCTATGTGGCATTAGATTACCGAGGCAAAAGGGAACGAATCAAGGGAAAACCACTGTGACATGTACTGTCATGCTGTCTCTACACTAAAAATGACACATTCAGAAAATTGCCAAAGGTCTTATTTTAAATGGCAATATTAACAATACATATTCAAAGTAGCACCAAAAATAATTGTAACCAATATATAACACTTTATAGGATAATATAAAAGAAATATTCAATTTATAAGTGGGCTACAGATCAAACTATTTGAAAGAATATTTGGAATTGCATTTTCTAACAAAACACCAAAATGCTGGGTTTGTTTTCTGGTTTAATTCACAAGATTTAATGCTCAATGCTATTTAAATCTATAGTATATTTAAAATGAAAAATTATAGAAAACACAATTGAAGAAACTATTTTAAAGAACAATATAATTATCATAAATTATTGTGAATACTGGTTTAAATAGAAGATAAGCAAGTGGGTTAATTCTATTCAGTGGAGTTAAATCTTTGCTGAAATTTTTCAAAGAGCTTCTAAAATTTCAAGGATTTGAGAGTCAGAAGACACCAATTTGATATCTAATGTCAGATCAAAGTTTACGGTTTCTCATTCTCAATACACTACACTAGTTATGTGCTTTACAGTCTTAGATACTATTTCTTGGCCTGCTGTATTACATGCAGCAGCGTCAGAGGATTTTCTCAGGTGGCTAAGCTAGAGGAAAAATTGAAAGGTGGGTGGAAAGGCTTCACAATGAGTCAGAGGTCAGAGAGGAAAAAAGAAGGTCCATCAACATGATGAACTGAAAGAAAACACTCGATGAGCTCCTGGGCCCACAGATGGTGGTGCCAACTCAGGGCATACTTTGATGTCCAGGACGAAGGGATGTGCAGAGGGAAATTGCTTATGGCTATAGGAGTAATACTTTATAAACATATGAATCTACTATATATCACAGAACCTCAGAATAACATGCAACCATTTCAGATGATCTTGGTCAAATTATATCCTCTAACAATAGATATTAGATCAATAATGTGGGTATTGTTTTTAATTTTTATACAGAAGTACTCCTACATGTCTTGGTGGAAAAGCTGATTTGTCATTTAGGAAAAATAATTAGAACTTAGTACCATATACCAACATAAACTCTAAATGGCTAGAAATTATTATAAGTAAAGAAATCACCAGACAGCTTTAGATAAGCTGAGAAAAATTCCTATTTCTTTCCCAAAGTGAAAAGCTAAATTAGATTTATCCACCCCATATGGGAAAACTTCAAAAACTAGGATTTTAAGTAAAATAATATTTGTTGGTTTTTTTCATGGTAATATGCTCATTGTAAAAAAATACAGACAAGTGTAAAGAATATTAAAATCATTCGTTAAGTACCACCACTATTTATATTTAGGTGCATTTCCTTCCAGTCAAACCCTCCTTGGCATTATTTCCATTTCAAAAAAATCTTCCTAATTAAACAGGCAAAACCCACCTCATTATCTTAATTTTATTGATTACTAGTGATGAGCATTTTTCAT